CAGTGCTCTTCTCTTCCCCTGAGGTGCCCCGGTGCCTGACTGCGTTGCTGGGCCTGTCAGGCCCGTGGTGCCTCATCATGAGGGCGGTGCCTCGTGCCAGGACCATGTTGTGAGCTTGTACATACCTGTGTTTTCCTAATAGTGGGATTAAAAGGAGTTTAGGATTCTTTGAGTGTCAGCCTGTGAACCCTGGGGGAGGGCAGTTTTTCTCCTGTTTGCTTGTGCTTCCCAGTAGGCGTGCTGCTGCTGTCCTGCCTGTCAGCCAGGTCAGGGAAGAGGCCTTAGCCTGAAATGCTGCTGAGGTCCTAGTTTGAACTCTGTCCATTGGCTGTAACGTGGTAAAACTTAAGTCTCTCTTTTTAACCTTTAAATAAATGTGTGGGTGGGTTGCACAGTTGAATTTTTCTTCTCAAACCTGTACTGCACTGAAATCCACATTTAAACAGGCTGTTCAGGGGAAATGACATGTCTTGATGTTTAATTGCAATTTAAGTTTGATCAATTAAATCACTTGTAGGAGAATAAAAGCAACTATAAATTAAAATATGGGTTGCCCCTACTCCACTTCCCATTCATTTTGACTATGGAATACTGTGTGAACTTGATAAATGGCATGTCAGAACATCATGCTTCCTCTTTTTCCAGGTTTACATGTTTATCAGTGCACATGCAATGAAAAATACATTCTGTGTGTGAATTTTAGTGCATCAATGAATAGGACAAATTAACTGGAAAGCAGGTTGGGTTTTGTACTTAGTGGTATTACTGTTGGTAGTGACAGACTTAAGGTTTTGTCTGGAAGGGTAATGATTTCTAAATTAGTGTCCATCTGCAAGGCTTTTGTGTCTTGGTAAGGAAAGGCAGAAAGTAAGTTTCAACAGAGGACTTGAGAAAAACTCCCCAGTCCTGCAGTTTAGGCAAGTGCAGGGTATCCCTGAGGTACTTAAGGCTATTTTGGCGAGGGTGTTGTAAGAAATTTATTGATTTTTTTTGATTTAGATACTTTTTCAGTCTGTAAAATGAAAACCAAACATTACGTGTTACCAGGATTATTTACTAAAGGTACCTCCTTCAATTAAGTCAATAATTAATACATCTGGCAGAACCTTGCGCGGTAGCATTAAATTTCACCCAAGTTCACTGTTTAATAAGGTAGGGTACAGTGAGAATTTCCACAAAGACTTGGTTGTGCTAAGGTGGGCATGAGCATGAAAAGCAAATACATTAGGAGGATATGTGAAACAGTACCTGTATAGCCAACTGTCTTAGTAACTGTGTCACACTTAAAAAGAGACCATTTCTGAGTGGAAATGTGTCTCGCTGCCAGCTAGTTCGGAAGGTCTTCATCTAGGAGCCTTACTCTATTCCCTGAGGTCAGATAGATCCTTTTGTAAAGTCTGGGATCAGATGACACAGTACTAAAATATGTTGCCTGTGTGGAATCAATCGCTTCACAGCTCACTGTTTAATTGACATTTGGTGTCCAGTTGCCAAGCCAATGGTGTAGCTTGACCTACAGCTTTAACTATAAAAACTCGAGTTGTGGCAAAATACTGGGTGAGGGAGGGTGTCAAGATACATGTGAGGTTAATAGGCAATGGAGTGCTTTTTACTAGTGTGGTATCTTGTTTTACAAGGGAATTCTAAAATGTGTTTGTTCTGCTGTAATTTATGCATAGTAAATACACAATGCCTACGTAAAATCCTAATGGGAAATGCCTTTTATTCAATAGGGGCAATTCAGTTAGTAGACTTTGCTCTTCTTAGACAAAAGGCTTTTTTCAGATCTTTGACATCTGGGAACATTGTCTTTAGGCAGTGGTAATTGTTATATGATTAACCAAGGCAGTGCCTTACAGTTGCTCATTAAAGGAATCTGAATATCGAAGGCCAAAGGGTTATAGGGTGAGATGCTCATACAGCCTTTTTTTCTGCTGTGTCTTTATTGTTAAGGCTTGATTTATTTTTTCTTTTTTTTTTTTTTTGGGTACTGGTCAAAGCCAGTGGCTGTTCTAATATTTTTCTATGAGCAGGAACAGTTCCTCATAAGAAAGAGTGAAAGACAAAAGTTATGAAATAGGAGTCATATTTTACAGAGCAAGTAAGCTCAGCCATAGAATCATAGAATTGTAGAATCATAGAATGGTTTGGGTTGGAAGGGACCCCTAGAGGTCATCTAGTCCAACCCTCCTGCAGTGAGTTTAAAACCATTACCCCTTGTCCTGTCACAGCTGGCCCTGCTAAAAAGATTGTCACCGTCTTTCCTATAGGCTCCCTATAAGTACTGGAAGGCCACAATCAGGTCTCCCCGCAGCCAGGCTGAACAGTCTCCAGGCTGAACAACCCCAACTCCCTCAGCCTGTCCACATAGGAGAGGTGCTCCAGCCCTCGGATCATTTTAGTAGCCCTCCTCTGGACCCGCTCCAACACTTCCATGTCCTTCTTGTGCTGAGGGCTCCAGAGCTGGATGCAGTACTCCAGGTGAGGTCTCACCAGAGCAGAGTAGAGGGGCAGAATCACCTCCCTCGACCTGCTGGCCACGCTTCTCCTGATGCAGCCCAGGGTATGGTTGGCCTTCTGGGCTGCCAGCGCACATTGCCGGCTCATGCCCAGCTTTTCATCCATCAGTACCCCCAAGTCCCTCTCGGCAGGGCTGCTCTCGATCCTTTCTTCCCTCAGCCTGTATTGATAATGGGGGTTACCCCGACGCAGGTGCAGGACCTTGCACTTGGCCTTGTTGAACCTCATGAGGTTCACACAGGCCCACCTCTCCAGCTTGTCCAGGTCTCTTTGGATGACATCCCGTCCCTCAGGCGTGTCAACTGCACCACTCAGCGTGGTGTCATCTGTAAACTTGCTGAGGGTGCACTCGATCTCACTGTCTAAGTCATTGATGAAAACATTGAACAGCACCAGTCCCAGTACGGACCCCTGAGGGACACCACTCGTCACTGGTCTCCATCCGGACATCGAGCCATTGACCACTACCCTCTGGATGCGACTATCCAACCAATTCCTTATCCACCAAACAGTGTGCTTGTGGTTGTTAGTATGCTGCATTAGCAATACAGTAGGTTTACCCATCAAATCATAAATAAAGGAAAAGATAGGTCTAGAAAAAAAATACCATGCTTCAGCAGTTAATTTCTTCATCTTTCTAAGCAGCACAAAACTTTTCTTGGGATCTAGAACGCAAACTGAAAATTTCAAGAATAAATATTTTAAAGGATTAAAACAAAATCAGAGATATTAAGAGGAGGAAGAAAACAGAAATGGGAGGCTTCAAGATACTTTGAACTAAAGGGAATCAACACAGAAGATAAGGACATTTCAGAAACCCTAAATGGCTAGTTTGACTTGATTTTAGGGAAGGGGAAGATAAGAAAATGTACACTGCAGAGGTGCTACTTGATAGCTAGTGTTGCAGCTTATAAAAATAGGACACTTTAAGACACAGAAAAGGACAAGTTGATTTCAGTTGTAATGAATCACTGAAGCTGGATTATATTTATTTGAGAATTCTGAAAATAGTTATGTGTGAAGTGACTAAGCTGCTAAGAATAATGCTCAGTTTATCATTAAAACTAGCTGTTATACTTGGAGATTGAACTGCAGGAAATACCCCACTTTTAAATTTTTTTTTTTTTTTTCAAATAACTAAGTGAAGTCCTTGGAATGATAAACTAGTGAATCTATTTTTAAAAAGTAGCCAATGGAAGAATTACCTAGTTGAGCATGGCATGCATAGCTTCTGCAAAAAGGGAACTAGGTGAACAGATCTTTGACCTCACTTAAAATTAGTAGAGGTTTTTGAGGATTTTAGCAAAAGATTGCCAGACTCAATAGATGATGTATATGAGTGGCAATTAAATAGCTGTGTGAGGGGAAATCTAAGATCCAAATTTCAGAATTGGTCTGCACTAATCCTGTGTCCGCACAGGGGGTAACTTAAGTTGAGCTGGAAGTTCATTACGTTTACAGAAAACAGATGTTAAATAGATATTTGAAATAATTGCACATATTTATTTTGGCTATTTGTTATGTCTTATCTGAAGATTCAAAAATACACTCAAGTCTCACTGCTACTGTCTTAACAGTGCTACTCTTGGTTGGAAGGGAACTGAAGGTTTCCTAATCTGAAAGATGTGCATCAGATTGGTTGGAAAATAGGGGTCGTGAACAGTGTGCAACTTCAACCTGACAGATGATTTGAAATAGAAAGACTACACAAATGTGTTAACAAACCTGATAGCATAAGATATGCAGAGTGTTAGGCTGTATCTGTTTAAGTAACAGATTTTCACAGGAGAGGATAACTGTTTATTGTCTTCCGTGTTCCTCTCGCCCAGAGTTCAGTGGACTGATTTCCTTCTGGTTCTTGCCTGTCAACAAGAGATCACGAGGTTATGAATAATGATGCATTTTACATATTTTTAAAAAATCAAAGAGTTGTTCTTCACTTAATTTTCTCTTGAACTAAGGAATAGTCACTGAAGTGCAGCTTGTAAAAAATGAAGAAGAAAAAATAATGGATTCTAAAAAAATTTGCATCTAGCTTGTTTTATGTGTTTCTTAATGTTAAAAGTTAGTACACTTCTTTGACGTGAACTGTCCAGTGACTATACGTGAGCCTAATCTGATGCACATCTTTCAGATTACAGTGTAATTTTGCTGACACTTAGGAGTTATGAAATGCCACAACATGTTATTATGCTTTAAGAAGACTAAATTTGGCAAAATTTTTATAAAACTAAAAATAGTCTTGGACATTTAGGAAAATATCTGTCATTAAAAACTGAGATACTGTTTAAATTTTCGTAAGGTATGCTGGAATACTTACCTTGGAGCTGGTTTCTTAATCACCATTCATTTGACGTAGTCATTCACAATGCATTCAGTTTGTTTCTTTCTCTCAAACCTTAGCATTAGTTTACTGGGCTTTTCCTTTTTAAAATTACTTCTGTGGTCTTTATAATGGGGACTTTTGTCTCTTTCCACAGTGAAGGGAAGTCAGAAGTGTGAGCTGAATTGCCGTGCAATAGGTTACCGATTCTATGTGAGACAGGCTGAAAAGGTGATAGATGGGACGCCCTGTGACCAAAATGGAACTTCCATCTGTGTGGCAGGGCAGTGCAAGGTAAGGCTACTATCTCTAGCAACTCTGCCTGTAGACTCTCTATGCCATATTTGATTTCTGTAAGAGGTTGATATGACTGTACCTGTGAAATGATGTATTGAACTTCTCTCTCTTTTTTTTTTTTTTTTTAAGTAGATGTGAAAAATGTAAACTTTTATTATTACAGGTTTTATTTCTTAACTAATGTTTCTATCTACTGAGAACAAATTATGGGATGCTGAAAGGCTGGATTCAGAAGGTGTTCTGGCCACAATTAAGGTGACTTTCAGTGAGTTTATTCCACATATTTAGCTTTCTACAGGAGAGATTCTATGGAAGAATCAGAACAAAATGTTTGGAAGCTTAAATAAGAGAGAAATATAATATCTTTCTTCGATTAAACTTTAGAGTGGAGATACTTCCTTTCAGTCTGCAACATAGTGGTTTATTCAGTTACGTGTTTATTTTTATTGCTTTTTAGCTGATGTAAATGAAGCATTTCTGATTGGTCCATGTTTGCCATTTTTAAGAATCAGGTCTTACTGGCTCTTCATTTACTTAGCAGTGATGTTCTCTTGGAAAATACTTCAGTGAATGGTTATTTTTCAACGGTTCAGAAGGAGCTACTGTGTTGACTTTTTTGCAGTCTGCTCTGTAGCTTCCCTTTGTAATGAATAAATACACTGCTTTCTGCAAGATGGTAGCAATTTTAAACAAAATGTTGCAGTGTTTAGGAAAAAAGAAGTTTGTAATTTTTAAAGGCATTTGACACTTGGCTGATGTTTCCTATATATGTTGGCAAAAGAAGCAGAAGTGGGTCAGATGTGACTCATGGACTCAAATAGTGAAAGGTGAAGTTCAGTTTAAATAGTTGGTTTGCCAGAGGAAGTCACTTATGAATGCAACCTTTTCATCTGCGTGTCCAGATTCCTCTTACTTGTGCACATCTGGACAGTGCCATGTATGTTTCTGCCCTGTATTTCTTAGTGCAAGCAAAGCTATAGCTTTGAATTATTTCCTTTGTAGATGATAGATTTGTGTGAAGTTGATTATTCCTTAAAGCTTTCCTTGATCTCAGATTCAGAAAGGGCCAGAAATTTGTTTTAATTACAGTTCTGATCTATGACTCAGAAAAACGAAAAATAGATTTAGTATACCAGCTGTTGTATTTTCCCAGTACTGTGCAATTACAAAAGTGTATATATATGATACATTTGTATTGGAGGTCTGGGATAGAAAGGGAAGGCAGTGTTCAGCACCCTACTAGTAAAGTGTTCTGAATTCTGAAAATCACCCATTGCCTGTATAAAATGCCACTTCCCAAAGCTGCATATAAACAAACAACAGGTTGTGAATCCTTGCTGTGAATATGTAACTTGGGATTCATAGAATTGTAGAATAATAAGGCACCTGTAAGGTACCTGGCAAGGTCATATAGTTCAACCTGCTCAGAACAAGGCCCGCTGTATCAGGTAGCTATCATGGCCTTTTCCAGGTTGAGTTTTGAACCCGTTCCAGTGTTTGAGCAACATCCTTTTCCTCTTATTTGATTGAAATCCCCCATATTGTAGCTTGTGCTCTTGGTCTCTCAACCTAGCACTGCACACGTCTGTGAATCTGACTCCATCTGCTCTGTTACCCTCCCATTAGATATAGACAGCAGTAAGATCTTCCCATAGCCTTCTCTTAAGGCTAGGGATTCCTAGGCTGTAGTGGTTTTTTTGGGGTTTGTGTGTTTGTTTTTTTTTTCCCCCTTTCTCTTTTCCTATGTTGTTGAAAATAGACCTAAAAATCAAAATCTCAATGTCGATTTAAACTGTTGCTCACTGATGCCTACTTAACGCTCAGTGAAGCATTCTTTAAAGAGTTAAATAGAACCAGTTCTGTACTGGTGCTCAGTGCCTTATAAACCATAAATTACCATGAGAAAGCTAAGAGAAAGCAGGTAAAGGTCCTTCTTATTCTGTGCACTTTGTAGTGCTTCTCGCTATAGCAAAGTAGAATGAGAGCAAGAGCTAGCAGAACTTGAGGGAGTTGGCAGAGTCCTCATGCACAGTATGTGCATATCTCCACACGTGCACTCTACTTGTGGAGAAGGCTGAGCCTTTGGGAGACACATCTAGCTAAAATATTAAAAAGATTGTATTTTTATTCTGAGGAGGAACTTCATTCAGACATTTTCCAGCTTGTGATGATAATTCTTTTGATCTGTAGCAATTCACTCCTTGCAACTTATTACTTGCAACCTCAGTAAAAACGTAAGGTGGATGTCAGCTGAAAGAGACTTGACCTGTTTGACCATGTAGTAGTAATGTTGAGATTTTGTGTGTGTGTAAACTACGCCCTACTTTTCTTTGTTTCAAAGTTTTGAATTAGTATTTGAGGGAGTATTTAGAGATACATACGTCAAGCTAAAGGAAAATACAGTATTCCAGCTGCATGGTGCTTTGAAGCACTGTCATGATTGACGCAGTTATTCTTTTTTCAGTGATTTCCATGACTCAAGATTAGTAAGTTAGTGCTACATCTTTGGTGAAACTTTACCTCTAAATAGTCAATACCATGTCTGCATTTGAGGGAAGTTAATAATGTTATATGCTTCATTCTTCTTCTTAAAAGTACTTCATGTTTCAGGATAGATTAATCTGTATTAAAATTACTTACCTTGTGCCTTTTTTATCTGTTCCATATGTAAAATCTCATGTTCCCTATGATTTAAGGATGAATAAATCTGATAAACAAATGATTAAGTTGCATATATTGCCTGTCTCCTTGGGCTCCGAGACTTTGTATCCTACTTGAATAGGCAGCAAAACTATTAAAAATTGATTAAATAATTTTACTGAGCAGTGATATTATATGCTGTAGAGAGAACATGGTTGTAGTTGAAGTTGAATAATTAGAAAATCAAATCATTTAAGTTTCATACTGTCAGATGCTTAAGAGAATATTTTTCTGAAACATTGTCAGCATTTACAGTTAACTGAAAACGTTTCTCAAGTAATAAAGCTTATTCAAATACTTGTAGTAGGTAGCTCTTCCTTAACTGTACATTAGTTTGGGGTTTTTTTAAAGTCAGATACTAAGTGTCTAATGAATTTGTGGTCTCTATCACCCTCTATTGGACGTTTTGCTGCATTACCAGAACAGTAATATCCTTGTGTTTTGTTCCCAGGACCTTTGTTTCTGGTTAGTATTTTCAGTTTACCTTATTCTTAGAAATAGAAGATAGAAAATGTTTCTATAAAAAAAGTAATAAAAATTACTCAGAAACAGAATAAAGAATATGATAGACAGGTTTACCTTCATCTGAAATAAAAATTAAACATGTATGAAGGTATTTCTTACTTTTTAACCATTCTAAAATGTTATGTAAGGCAACTGCAAGTAACGTTAGTTAGAAGTTCTCAATATATAAAATGCAGTCACACCTATTAACACTGAGAATACATTAAAGAGAAATTTTGTCTTAATGTCAAAACCAGAATGTTTAACACACTTAATTCCCTCCTTTTTGAGTTGTTAACCACTGTTAGATAGAATAACCTTTTAAACCTGTAGAGTATTGTTTAATCTTATCAGCAAAGACGAAGTATAGCATAAGAGAAGATTTTAAAAAGAGCAGTGTGTACAAAAATCCTATTTAATGCCTGTTGTGGCCATTACAGGTCCCTTCCAACCCAAAACATTCTATGATTCTGTGATTCTATGATCATGCAGGAAGGTTAGAACAACAGTGTATTTCTGAGTACATCTGAACAGCATCCCAGTAACCATTTCCTTTTCTCCAGAGAGTGTCTTTTTTCACTGTTTGCTGGTCTTTTGTTCAACTGGCCCCCAGAGTTGGAAATAAGAACTTTGTAACTTGTCCAGCACAGGAGTTGATAAGTAAAAGCTCATTTTTCAGACATAGTCCTTTAACAAAACTTAATATGTTCTTATGATGAAATATCCTAATTTGTTTGGGGTTTTTTCACTTTCTCATTTGTCTGTGGCATTGCAGTAATGAGCACATATAACAGTGCAAGTAATACAGAAAAAAACCTCACTCATCACTGAAATGATTATGTACTTCCTGGTGTAGACTAGTCTGTGAATTCTAATGAAATGAAACCTTTTTAAAGCAATTAAATAATTTTAAAATAAACCTAGGCAAAATAGGAAGAACCAGGTGATATTCTACCTATGCAGAAGAAATAAGTATAACAATGATCTTGATAATAAGTTTTATTATTTCCATGTAAAATTGTTTTTCTGCACATTTGAACAATATTCTTTCTGATGAACTTTAGAAAGTGAATGAACATTTTCATTGGCAGTCCTACTGAGTTCCACTTTTATTTTTTCAAAATTTTTATATAGTGCCATAGCTGGTTATTGCTAATATGTATGCTTTGTATTACGGAGTGCATTTTAGTATTATGGAGTATGTGTCGTTTGTTTTGTTTGCAGAGATGTTAGTTACCAGGCAGTGGCGCACTTTACAAAAGGATTATTTAGCATTTCACATGAAACTTCGTTTGGGTGGGAACTGTAGGTATCTTTTAAAGGCATCTGAAACAACTATTTTCTCTCTCCTGATTTTCCTATTACATTTTCTCTTGCATTGTAGTTTATTTTCATCTTCCAGTTAACTTCTGAAGTTAATTGAAAATATCTGAGCAGTTTTAAAATGCTCACAGTGAGTAACTTCAGTAGCAAAATGTCTGGCAGTAGAGATTTTACTTGCCTTTAACAAAAAAAAAAATGCATCGGATGTTGAAATCCTTGCAAACTTTATAGGGAGGTAACTTAAGTAGGCTATCGCCAAGCATGCATCTCAATCAGAAAAATATGGTTAGGCAAGGAGCTCCCATTTGGAGCTCTGCTGATATGCACCAGTGTCCAGGTAGCAGAACTATAGGTGGCATTATTGTTTTGTGTTAGGGAACTTAATGACTGTAGGATCAGAGTAACAGATCAGAATGATGAGAACTGTGTACTTTCCTTAAGTTAGGGTTATTCTCATAACTCATATGTTG